GGGGGGATGTTCCCGGGCTGCACATCCCGGGAGAGGTGACAGGAGGGGGTTGTCACGGGAACAGGGGAGCGAGGGAGGAAGGAGAAGTGCAGTCACGAGATGGGAAAGAATAAAAGCTCCTGACTGGGAGACAGGTCATTAACATGCAAATGGGGCTAATGAGGAGCCGGGGAGGGGGAGGGGGTGACAGGGGGGGCTTTGAGGGGCTGTGGCAGAGACAGGAGGTGCCTTGGGGGTGTTTTTGGGGTGGTGGCACCGTCCTGGGGGGTGTTTCCCTGCCTGCTGCTGCTGGATTTGGGATCAGGATCCCAACCCTCCACCTCTCCCCCGTGCATGCTTCCCCCTGGGATTCCCTGCCCATGTGGGATCACCCCCGATCCCTCCTGGAGGTTTCACCCGCAAAAATCCTCCCTCAGAGTCCTAAATCTCCCTTTTTTTTTTGAGGCAGAGGAGCTCTGAGAGGTCCCTGGAATGTCCCCCCTGTGTGCCCTTTGCTGGAGTGGGATCATGGAGTCGTTTAGGCTGGAAAAGCCCCTCCCAGGTCACTGAGTCCATCCCCAAAGTGCCACATCCCCAGGCCCTTTTATTTGATCCGATCCCATCCCTCATTCCCTGGAAGCAGAGCCCGAGGATGCTGGAAATGCATAATCCAGCACTGGGGGAGGGGGGAGCTCAATAAGGGTGATTTTAAGGCGCTGTGAAAGATTTTGGGGGGGGATGGGGGGAGCTGCCTAAGTGCAAAGTGCTGTCAGCGGAGGGGAGGGGTGATTCATTATTTATCCCCCCCGCAGATGTCCTTAACTTTTTGTCACTCCGAGATCCGGGCCCGGCGCCTGGAGCGGCTGATCCAAAGTGACAGGGGCTTCCAGCTCCTTCGGAAGCGCCTCCAGGAGGGACCTGACAGGAGTCCAGCTTTGTTCCCTTCCCGGCCCTGCTGCTCCCCCGGGGATGGGGCGCAGGAGCCACTGCCTGGGGGACCCAAATCAGCCTCAGATTGCCCCAAATCAGCCCCAGATTGTCCCAGATCAGCCCCAAATCGCCCCAAATCGGGCCGTGCTCGATGCTCCAGCGCTCGGGGGGCTTGGCAGCTTCGCGTGCCCCCCATGGGTTGCCCCTTCCCAAGGGGCCTGGGCACCATCCTGTGTTGTTTTCCCAGCCTCCTGGTGGTGGTCAAACCTCACTGGGGGTCCCTGCCCCAAACAGCCCAGGGGGGGGTTCTTTTGGGAGGCAAAACCATCCCAGAGCGGGCGGGTTTTTCGGGAGGCCGTGGGGGTGACGGGGAGGTGGCACTGACTGACAGATCCCCCCCGGTCCGACCTGTTCTGGCATCCTCGTTCCGTGTTTGCCCTCCCGTGCAGCTCCACAGGGCCCTCCTTGTGCTCCTCTCTGACGGAGAGGAAACATCTCGGGACAATGCTTGGCACGGCCGCAGGAAAACAAGGCTCGGGATTCCAGCACCTCACTCGTGCCCCGGCACTGCCGGCCCTGGGCTGGGACACCCAGCAGCCCCTTCCCTCCCTGCTGCCCTGCCTGACCCCCCATCCCACCCCTTTGGAGGGGAGCAGGGTCCTGTCCTGGCTGGGCAGGTTGGGATCTGTGTACCCTCAGCTCCCGAGGTAGCTCTGGGGGTACCCTGGGGGCTGCTCCTGCAACGCCCTGAGGGCCCAGTTTTCTGCTTCCACGACGTCCTTGTGGGGTTTGGGGGCCACTTTTTTCCTCCTGTCACGGCCTTTCCGTGGGGTTTGCAGCCCCTTTTTCCTGCTGCTGTGGTGTCTCCGGGAGGTTTGGGGTCCCCTGTTCTGTCCATCACAGCATCTGCATTGGGGTTTGTGGCCCCTTTTCCTTCTGCCATGGCACCTCTGTGAGGTTTGGGGCTCCTTTTCCTGCTGCCACGGCGTTAAAGCCCATCCAGTGCCACCCCCTGCCATGGGCAGGGACACTTTCCACCATCCCAGGTTGCTCCAACCTGGCCTTGGATGCTTCCAGGGATCCAGGGGCAGCCAGGGCCTGCCCACCCTCCCAGCGAGGAATTCCATCCCAACAATCTGCTCTGTTCATGGGATCACCCTCTGGAGGGTTGGCAGGAGGGGTGTCCAAGCGTCCCCGGTGTCCCCCCCCGCAGGTGACGCTGCCACGGCCGACGCGTTCCCGGTGCCGATCCCGGAGGATGAACAAGCCCACGGACCTGCAGCACGACCTGGAACGCAGCCTGCCGGCCATCGCCTCCATCAGCTCCTCCCTCTCCCAGAGCCAGGGCTTCTCCCCCTACTTCTTGTCCCCGGAGAAGAGGAAGGTCATCTCGGACGTCAGGAGGACCTTCTGCCTCTTCGTCACCTTCGACCTGCTCTTCATCTCCCTGCTCTGGATCATCGAGCTCAACGTGAGTCGCAGGGGAAGCAAAACCCCGGGAATCTTTGCCCCTGTTTAAGCTCCCTCAGTTAATTGCTCCGTCCCGGCACTCCTGGGACCGAGCTTTGTTTGCTCTTCCCAGCCCTGGCCCCGTGTTCCTGAGTGTAAATTAAAGTCCAGCTCGTTTCCTGCCCCCGGGGCTCTGGGGGGGCTGTCCAGGGTCGTTAACACCGTCCCTGTGGCTCTGTGTTGTGTTGTAACTGAGATCCAGGGCTCCTGGAATCACCAGGTTGAGCCAAATTCCTCTGCTGCTCCCCTGGCCTTCATTCAGCAAAGCTGCTGTTCCTGGAGCAGGGGAGGATCCTCGAGGGGCTTTGATCCCAAAATATCGCTGCTGATCTCAGCTTTGGGAAGCTGGAGGTGCTGTTCCACCTCCCCAGGGACTGTAACACGAGGGGCTTGGTCCCCTTCTGACTGTCACAAACTGCTGCCTTTGCTCTGTGCTGCAACCACCGGGAAAATCCAGTTTATTTACCTCAGTCCCACCGGGTCCAAGTCCCTCCCTGGGCTTTATTTTGTTTTTATTTTCCCTGGACCGGTCCTGACTGGCTTCAGGCACTCCATGTCCTCCTCTGGAAGAGATGATCTGATAGACCCTGGGCTCTGGCCTTGGTTTATCAGGGTTGGATCCTGCTCACTTACAGCCCTTATCTCTGCCCTCCTTATCTCTGAGTGTCTGCACTTAACAGATTGTCCTGGCAGCAGCTCCTCACCCTGCCCGGAGCCCCAGGAGACCCCTGCCCTTCACCCCCTTAGGAAAAACCATCTCCCAGCCAGCATTCCAGCCATGCCAGTGGGTGTCCAGCACGCCCAGTTTGGACCCTGGGCCTCCTGCTCCTGTCCCGGTTCTCCCAGGGGGAGGTGCTGCCTCCAAACCAGCAATTCCAGCCCCGGGGAGATAATCCTGGCTCGGTCACCAGGGTGATGCCTGAGCGTGGGTCGTTCAGGTAGCCATTAATGAGTGACTAACTGCTGATATTTGGGCCCCGAGCCGAGATGCTGCATATTTAAAGCTATTAGAGCAGCTTATTTGCCTGGTTATGAAGAGCAACGATTCGGTATCATGACTAATGGGCCTCTTTTTTTTTTTTTTTTTTTTTTTTTTTTTTTTTTTTTTTTTTTTTTTTTTTTTTTTTTTTTTTTTTTTTTTTTTTTTTTTTTTTTTTTTTTTTTTTTTTTTTTTTTTTTTTTTTTTTTTTTTTTTTTTTTTTTTTTTTTTTTTTTTTTTTTTTTTTTTTTTTTTTTTTTTGTTTCTTTCCTTTTTGTTATCCCAACGGTTTCCTTGGCTCCGAGATAAGCTGAGCAAATTGCCCCCTCGTTAAGAGCCAATTCTGCAGAGACAAAAGAGAGATGCCTCGGGTCGTTTGTCTGCCTTGTCCACAGCTTTGTGTTACAACTGAAAACAGCCCCCAAAAGGACACCCAGAGCTTTTCCTGGATCTCACCCCTCCCGGTGTGGGGGAGAGGCTCTTGGTGGCCAAGCTGGCACAAGCCCAGCTGGAGGAACAGCCCAGAGCTGCTTTGCCCCCTCTCCTTGCCCCCCTTCTGCCTGGATTTTAACCCCCAGCCCTTGCCCAGAGGGATCCCTTCCCGGTGGCTCCTCTCCTGCCCTCGGAGGGTGCCAGGACAACCTCCTGCCAAGGGATTGGCCCGGGATCCACCACCTCGTTCCTCACAGCCCATCCAAGAGTTCCTCACATCCAGCCCCTCCCAGCCAGCTGGGCCCAGCTTTTCCTGTGGTTTTCCATTTTTCCCATGCCTCCTCCTGTTCCCCTGAAGTCTGTCACCTGGAAGCAGTAGGAGGTGCCCGTCCAGGGCTTCAGGATCTGGTGGCACTCACTGTGCTGAGCCAGAGGAGCAGATTTGGGGGGTTGGAAATGCACACGTGGAGGTGTTTTAATGTCCCTGCCTGCCCAACCCACGCTCCTCAGCGTGAATCCCAGGGGGAAATGTGCTGTGGGATCCTCCCTGCACCTCTGCTGGGCACCATTTGTGTTCCAGGTGCCCTCCTTGCCCTGGCCATAACCCCTGGCACTGCTTGGCCGGGCTCCTTCTCCCGGGAGTTCCTCATCAGTGCCCTCAGCAGCTTCTGCTTCCCTGTCTCCCTTCAGACCAAGGACGGCATCCAGAAGAACCTGAAGGATGAAGTCGTCAAGTACAAGTTCAAGAGCTCTTTCTTTGACATATTTGTGAGTATCTCAGCCCTCCTGCAGAGCTTGGGGTGAGGGGGGGACACTCCCCACAGCCCAAGCCTTGAGTCCCAGCCGGTCACAGCCCATCCCAGTGCAGCCTTGACCCCGCTTGTCCCTCGGGTGCTGGCGCCTGTCCCTGTCCCCCCCAGCAGCTGGCAGAGGGGAAGGGGCAGTGACTGGTGCCTCTGGGGGGGTTGTTGGTACAGCTCCTGGCCCTGTTTCGGTTCGTGGTGCTGCTCCTGGGCTACGCCGTCGTCCGCCTGCGCCACTGGTGGGTCATCGCGGTAAGAGCCACTTTTGGCTTCTCCTGGTTTCATTTTCCCTCTCCCCCCCTCCCCCTGCCCCTCCAGGGGCTTCACAGGGCATCTGAACCACTTATTTATTTATCTGAGCCACGTCCATTCACGTTCCAGGTCACCACACTGGTCTCCAGTGCCTTCCTGATTGTGAAGGTCATCCTCTCCGAGGTTGGTTGGTTTCCCTGCGCTCCTCCCTTTGTGGTTCCTTTTTTTTTTTAATTTATTTTTTTATCCCGTTTGGGTAATTCCCTGTGGTTTCCTCCACGCAGCTTCTGACCAAAGGGGCTTTTGGCTACTTGCTTCCCATCGTCTCGTTTGTCATTGCCTGGCTGGAGACCTGGTTCCTGGACTTCAAAGTCCTGACTCAGGAGGCAGAAGAGGAGCGATGTGAGTACCTGGCTCCTCCCTGGTAGAGGGGTTGGATGAAGGCACCAGGCCTGGGGTTTGGCAGCACCTTTTATCTGACATTTCTGGAGAAGGGATCTCCAGGCTGGCTGGGAATGGGAAGTGCCTGACTCAGTTCTGTTAATGGTGTTCAAGACCCTTCGGGGGAAGAAAAATACCAGATTATAAAAAGCATCTTTTAATTGAGGGGAGAAAAAAAATGTGCCAGATTCCCCAGTGTCTGGATCCTCTGCATGGGAGAGAAAGTGTTTGGAAGCAGTGAGGCAAATGCCAGGCAGAGTGTGTTGGACTCCCTGTCCCTGCTCTCTGCGCTTGGATCTGTCTGGAGACCTTTCCAGGGGGGATTGCTGCGGTCACAGGAGCGCTGTGGGGCACGCTGGGAGTTATGGGGTGTGACATTCCACAGCCTGTGGCCTCTGAGGTCACACTGAGCACAGACTGAGCCTGACCTAATGCTTCCCACGTCACCCTGTGACTCCCAGGCTCCTTCCAGCGAGCGGGTGCTGGGATAGCTGCCTGTTCCTGCAGCAGCACAAGGATCTGTTCCCCTTCCAGACATCACTGGCTGGGAAGTGGCGCTGAACGAGGGGGCATTTGTCAGGCAGGGCTGGATCAGAAATGCTCTGACTGACTGGAAAGCACCAGAGGATGTTTGGGTCTTGCAAGGAGGCTTTAAGATGAAAAACGATCAAGTGTTTAATGCCTCTATTGGATTAGGCTCAGGTTCCAAATTGCTTCCAGGGGAAGCTCTTATTTAATTAGATGCTTAATCGCCTTTGGATTATTTGACAGGCAGAAGAGCCCATTGATCTCCAGGCAGATAAAACGTCTCAGACAAAAGATGAGGCAACAGGAGCCGCAAAGCTCCTGGGCTGGCTGGTGTCAGCGGGAAAACTCACGGGAAAACGTGGGAAACGAGTGGCTGGGAGGGTGTTTGGGCAGGGCTGGCACCCCTGGGTGTGGGGATGGCAGTGTGTGATCCCTGTGCTCCCGTTCCCAGGGTACCTGGCAGCCCAGGCTGCGGCCTCACGGCCCCTGCTCTACCCCCGGGCCCTCTCTGAGGGGCAGTTCTACTCCCCCCCCGAGTCCTTCGCAGGTAAGAGGTGCTGTTCTGAGCCCTCCCCTCCCTTCCCAGCTCATCCCAGCTCATCCCAGCTCATCCCAGCTCCTGGGGATGAGGGCATGGGGGGGGGTGGGCACAGGCAGGGGAGGAACAGGGCTGGCAGCACATCCCTGCCCTGGGACAGACACCAACTGTGCTGGCAGTGGAGTGGGGAGATGTCACCTGGAGCTGTTATCCCAGTGTAGGTGACACCCGGGATGAGCTCAGCCTTCCAGAACTGTTATCCCAGTGTATCTGATACCTGGGATGAGCTCAGCCTTCCAGAACTGTTATCCCAGTGTATCTGATACCTGGGATGAGCTCAGCCTTCCAGAACTGTTATCCCAGTGTAGGTGACACCCGGGATGAGCTCAGCCCTCTGGAGAGCCGAGCAGGTGTTCAGGGAGACAGGGCTGGAATCATCCTCTGACTGACAGCCCTTCCCGCTGGATAAGGGGCAGGGCTCAGCCACTGCCCCCAGGAGAAGGTCAGAGGGGGTTGCACCAGTGAGACCTTCATTAATTGTGCATTAATTGGGTGTTTCCCCCAAGGGTCGGACAACGAGTCAGATGAGGAAGGCACAGGGAGAAAGGCCTTGACAGCTCAGGTAAGCTGAGGCAGCACAGCCCGAGGCTGGGACTGTCCCTGTCCCTCTCCAGGCTGATCTGGGACTTTGGGAATCCCCCCAGTCCTGCTGCCCCCCATTCCACACCCCTCTGCTCTGGGGATGTGTGGCTGAGCCCCTCATGGCCACCACGGGAAGGGTCCTCTGAGCCCCCCCAGCTTCACCCCACTCCCCTAGAGCTGCGTCCTCTTCCCTGCAGCATCCCACAGGGATGTGTCCTGGCTCTGCTCCTGCTTGTCCCCCTTCCATCCCTGCCTTTTTGGGCACATTCCAGCGTGGGCGTCGCCTCCCTGTCCCCATAACTTGCAGGGTGGCCCTTCACCTCCCCAAAACCTGGCTGGGCACGGGCTTTGTGCCCTTTTTTCCAGTGGTCCAGCCCCACTTGTGGCTGCTCCAGGAAGGAAGCTGCACATCCCAGAGCCCTCTTCCTGCTGGAAGCGCTCACGCCGAGGCAGGAGCCGCAGCTGGTGTGTGGATCCCAGCCAGGGCAGGGAGCGTGACTTGGAGCTCCAAAATGAGGCCTCTGTGACCCAAATTAAGAGATTTCTGATCCCTTTTCCCTCTGCCAGCCTGGTGGGAGGGGGAACAGCCTCACACACCCCCCCTCAGGCCTCCTGCACGCCCAGCTAACGGAACCCTCCCTGCTTTCCCAGGAAAAGGAGTACGTCCGACAAGGCAAGGAGGCCATGGAGGTCGTGGACCAAATCCTCGCCCAGGAGGAGAACTGGAAGTTCGAGAAAAACAATGCAAGTGTGGCGTGTGGTGTGTGAGTGTGTGTGTCCCTCCACCCCAGCTGGCAGAGGCTTAGCAAAAAACCGGGACAAACGAGGCTTTGGAAGCCTCCTTGTGCCATGAAAAATTAACAAGCGTTACAATTACCTGATTGAATTAGGAATCTCTTCCAGTTCAGTTAAATGTAAAATTCCCCCCCCCCCCTTATTTAATTAGACGTTTAATTGTCCTGCAGTTTGACAGGAGTGGGAGCCTCAGCCTTCCTCCCTCTGGCCGGGGGTGGGTGGGCAAGGGGTGGAGGGCTCACCTCTGGAATGCTGCTCCCATGGCTCCAGCTCAGCTCTTACTCCATGGAAAGGTGCCTTGGAGCCTGCTGGGTGGGCCCAGATGGGGTTCTTGGCCCACATGGGAGCAGGAAATGTGGGGTACGAGTTGCTCTTCCCACCCCCAAATCCACTGGTGCCCCCCCCCTCCCCTTTCCCCTGCACAGGGACCTGGAGTGTAAATCTGGGATGTGTCTTTGCCCGCCCCAAGGTTTTCTGGGGTGCCCAGAGCTCTGAAGGGCAGGGAGAAAGAGGAGGTATCTGTGCCCCCTCCAAACCTGACCCTGTTTTACGAGGTGGAAACACGACTGGGAGGGGGGGTGCGAGCCCTGCAAAGTGCTGTCTCATCTGGTGTTTCAAATTCCCCTGTCAAGTGATCCTTTGTCTGATGCCAAACTAGCTGGGCAGATTGTTTTCTTTTTCCAAAGGGGGATGGATTTAAATAGACTAATCAGAGTTTAACACAGGGCTAACGATGAAAGGTTTTCCTGTGCCCATGCCCAACCCCTCGGGGGGGAAGGGGGGGGAGCTCATCTCCCATGTGCAGCGCTGGCACCGACCCCCCTCTCCTGCCCCGGTGCTGCAAAGAGAGTTTGACCTTGACGTGGGGTTTGCAGGCTGGCACGGGGCGGATTCTTTTTCTGTCTCACCCCTGCTGCCTCTCTGGATGTTGTTTTGTTGATGGAAATGCGGGCATGGCCAGCTGAAACGTGCTCAGGGCGGTTTCTGTGCCCAGTGTAGGGGGGCAGGGGGACATTGGAGGGGTGAAGGGGGTCCCTCGAGGTGGCAGGAACCCCAGTGTTTCGCCAGGCTTCACCCCAAATAGGAGCAGTTCCTTTTTGCTTACACAAATGCACCTTTCTTATCTCCTGCACAGGACTTTGGTGATGTTGTTTACACTTTTGAGATCCCTTTCCACGGCAAGACCTTTATTTTAAAGGTAAGAACCCGCCCTGGATCGATTCCTCGGCCGATCTGGCACGGGCAAAGGGCCACAGCTCAGCTTTCAGGACGGGTCAGGGCTGCAGGACACACTCCCTGTGCTTGAGACAGATGAGCTGCACTGGGGAATCTCTCCAGGAAAACCCCTTGGCCGGCAGACAAACTCCCCAGCAAACATCCCGGGCCCCAGACCCTGCGGGGAGAACCGGGAGCAGGTGACTGCGAGACTCGCTTCCAACCCCAGCATCTCGGGCTAATCTGACCAAGGAGGCTAATTGGAACTAATTGCCAGCAAGACCAGGGCTGAGCAGGCGTCTGCTGCTGCCTGGCACCGGGAAGAGCCGCTCGGAAGTGCCTTGCTCCGGTGCCCTCTCCCAAGCTGGAGAGCCTTGGCTGGGAACCACGCTCTAATGAAGCGGCGGCGCTGCCGTGGCTCCTCTTTGTTCCAGTGCATATGTTGCCTCGCTGGCAGGAGCTGCCAGTGGAGCAGCTCTTGTGTGTGTTCACCAGGAAAAGCTGGATGGTCCCACTTTGCTGCGTTAACCGTTTGCCTCCAAAGATCCCCCCCGGCTCCTGTGGGGATGGGGTGGGGTGGGGGGAATGGGTGGGGGGGCTTGGAATGGCTTGGAGGGTCAAAAACGCAGCTTCCCCAAGTGATGGTGCACAGGGAGCTGCTGGGAATTGGGGTGGGAGAGGAGGCAAGCATACAGACCCCCTGCCCTCGCACCAGCACGGAGCTCAGTGCTCCCAAATCCCGAGGGTTTGTCCCCTGGGAGCGCTGGGACAGGGGTGGCACCCATGGCTCTGGTTGTACACAAGCCAGGCCGCTCTCCAGTGTGATCCCCCTTGTCCTTTGTTGTCCTGCCCTGTGTTCCTTAAAAACAACCTGCCCCAAGGGGAGCAGAGGGCCTGGCTGACTGCTGTGGCCGTGTCCTCAGGCTTTCCTGCAGTGCTCTCCCGAGCTGGTTTACCAGGAGGTGATTCTGCAGCCGGAGAAGATGATCCTGTGGAACAGAACAGTGGCAGCGTGCCAGGTGAGCGTGCTGGACAAAGATGGCTTAATCACAGGAGCTCCTTGGAGCGGAGAGCTGGAGCTTCCCAGCCCGGCACAGGCTGCTGGCAGTGCCCAGGCCGTGCTGGAGCCGAGCTGGGTCCCAGTCACTGAGGCGTTAAATCTCCGCCGCTCATCCCAGCGCCGCGCGGCAGCCGCTGCCTGAGCCCGGCCAAGAGCCCGTGAGGTGGGCAGGGAGAGGGGCCAAGGCTGAGTAGAGCCTGCCCATGCTCGCTGGAGGGTCTGGGCGTTGCTCTGGGGGAGCTGGAGGTGACGCCTGTGCCCCCCCAAAAGCTCGGGAGGCCAACCCATCCCACACCACCGGCGAATTCCCCCCACCCTGCACCGCCACAGAGCCTGGGGGTGCCCTGATCCCGGTGCTGGTTTGGGGGAGGGAATGTAATCCCCCAGCTCTTGGCACTTGGAGGCACAGTCTGAGCGGGGTCTCTCTTGTTTTTATTTCTCCCCTCCCCAGATCTTGCAGCGGATCGAGGACAACACGATCGTCTCGTACGACGTGGCGGCCGGCGCTGCCGGAGGGGTGGTTTCCCCGAGGTTGGTTCAACCCACTCTGTTCATCCTGAGCCCCCAAACACCCCCACAAACCACAGGGAGAGCCCTCTGAGGGCGCTGGGAACACACTGGGCCAGCTGGGAGCTCCGGTGTCACCGCTGTGTGACCCTCCCAAGGGCGAGCAGCCCCTGAAATTTTCCTCCAGACATTCCTGGCAGGATTCTCAGAGCTCCAAACCTCAGGCGGCCGCTCGCTCGGGCTCCCACGTATCAGTGCTGGCCGTGCTTTGTCCCCGTGTTGACACAGCCCTGCCACAGCCTTTCCCAGCAGTCAGGGGAGCAGGATCTGCTCCCTCCTCGTGCCATTTGTGTGCTCTGAGCAGGCAGTGCCCTTTCTTTGCTCAGGGATTTCGTGAACGTGCGTCGGATCGAGAGGAGAAGGGACAGGTACGTTTCCTCAGGGATTTCGACCACGCACAGCCTGAAGCCTCCTCTCTCCAAGTACGTCAGGTAAGAGGCAGGGGCTGTTTTTCTGAGCTGGGATCACTCCCTTCCAACGAAGCTTTAGGGCAAAGAGCCACTTAGCTGCAAACCCTGCTGCCTTTCCTGGCAGGGCTTGCAGGAAGCCGAGCTATTTGTGGAGCTGAAACCTCGCTTCCCTTGCTCGTCTCCCTTTGTTCAAGAAACTCTCCGTGCTGTCAGCGTTGCTGGGGCGTTTCCCACCTCAGGGGAGTGGAGGTGCCCGACCAGTAGCAGCAGCAGCAGCCCCGTCCCAACCCGCATCCTGTTTGTGTAGCAGGAATTTCAGAGGGGCAGTAAACAGCTGGATACGCTCCCAGCCTCTCACACGCATTTTTTGCTCCTCGTAAGCCGAGCTTAAGACATGGAGAGAGGGTCCCGTGGGTGAAAGAAGGATGGAGCAGCTCCCAAAATCTCAGCAGGGCTTTGGCCTCTCCCGTTCCGAAGGGCTGTGGGCTGGTGCTGGGCCCTGGCAGGGTCGGGCTCGGCAGACAAGGACTCCTTGTTCCTGCCGGGGCCCAGCTGTGCTGCCACGCTCCCACATCGCCGTTCCCAATAATCTGGTTAAAGTAATTGCCATTTTATCTCCGAGCTGCCTCGCTCCATTAAAGAGCAGGGGACTTCGGGGCCTGGAAAAATCCTTTGACAAATGTACCCAGCAAAAACAGCGTGTTCTGGGCAGGGAAGGGAAATCTGTGCACAGCTCCCATCTCAGAGACGGATCAGATGGTGCCAGCAAGGATCTGGGGGCTGGAGTGACAAGATCCTTGTCCCCTGAGCCTGTCCTGAGCACACAGGGCTTGCCTGGGACCTCCTGGTTGTGCCTGGCTGGGAAACCTTCCCATGGGGCAGAGCTGGCACCATCCAGAGGCAGAGCTGCTGCTCTGGCACCAGCAGTGCCAAGGCACCTGTGGGAAGCCTGCCCTGCCGTGCTGGCTCGTGCCTCTGGAGCCAAGGAACACCTTTCCAGGCTCTCCACATCTGCTCCTGCCCCGCTGGGCTCCGGCCCTGGCTGCCAGGCGGGATCCATGCGGAGCATCCCGGAGCAGTGCGGGATTCCAGCCAGGAATCGGGCTCTGCCTGATCCTCTTGGCTCTGCTCCACAGGGGTGAGAATGGACCCGGAGGCTTCATCGTCCTGAAGTGTCCCAGCAACCCCAGGGTCTGCACCTTCATCTGGATCCTCAACACGGACCTGAAGGTAAAGCCAGTTCCTGGTTCCTGGCACAGCTCTCCTGGGGGCTCCGGCGCCCCAGGGCCCTGCTCCTGCATCCCAGCAGCCATTGGAGTGGTTCCTTATCAAACACTGCCCTGGAGGGGCTCAGGTGGAGGTTAAACTACCCCAGAAATCCCCATCATTGCCCCGATGGGGAGGTGGGCAAGCTCTTCCTTACCTGAAACATTTCATTTAGGGGTTTCACCTCTGAGTGCAGGACTAGGGGAGAGGAGGTTTTTATCCAGTTTGGGGACCGAAACCAGTTGGCCATGGCAGCTGTCAGGAACACTCCAGAGGGGCAGTTCCCAGCTCCAACACCCCCTACCCCCCCACCCTGGTACAACCACGGCCAACCCTGGGGGAAGGAGGTTTCCCAGGCCCGGACCTTTCCCTGGAGCTGCCTCCGGTGGCCTTGCGGTTGTCCCGGGAGGGCCCGGGATGGGGTGGGGGCGGGAGCGGGGCCGGCCCGTTCCTTCCCCTGTGGAAGGTTGGGAAGGTTGACGTGGTAACGGCGCTGCCGCAGCGGCACAAAGGCTCCATTCATCGCTGTGCTGCATCGCTGCAGCCCCCAGCCCTCCCCTCCCCTCCCACGGCCCTCTCCCCTCCCTTCCCCCGGAGGCTCCTGCCCACCCTGCCGAAGGCTTTGGGAAGCGCTCTGGAGATGGGCAGTGCCCTCCCGCCCCGTTGTGTCCTTCATGGGTCTGGCTCCGATGCCTGTAAGGGGTTTGGGGAGGGGGGATAACAAACCCCTGTGACGGGGCTCGGGAAGAGAAGAGGTTCCTTGTGCTTCCCGGGCCGGAGCCGCCTCCGCGGTGGTGGAAGGAATTCCGGAGCGGCCGAGCTATAAATAACCCCCAACAGCTCCCAGCGCCTTCCCGAGGGGCTCTGCCAGTGCCCAGACCCCCTCCGGAGCTCCTCACTGCTTCCTTTGGCCCTGGAGGGGTATTTATAGCCCGTGGCTCATCCCTTCCTGCTCCGGGGGGAGTGGAGGATTCTGCACGTGTATGTGTTTGGGTCCCTGTGGGGAGGTCACTGAAACGGCTCCTGGAACAGCGGCCTCGAACTCTCCTGCCCTTTAATCAGAGAGGAAACCCAGTGCAGGGCAAAATCTGTGCTGGAACCCCCCAGACCAAGGGCAGGGGGGTGTCCTGTGCCCGCCTGACCCCCAGGGTAGTTGTCCCTTCCTCCCTCCCTGCTCGGGACCCCCGGAGCAGCTCCCAGCCCTTCCTGGGCTCCCTCCCCCCCTCTGCAGAGACTGGGATTATTATTTTTTTCCTGGATCTCCCATCACGGAGCCGAGGCCGAGGCGGGTGGGGGTGAGTCGTGCAGGGCTTTTTTAGGGAGATCAAACCACGTTGCAGATCCTCCCCCGGCTTGGAGCTCCACGAGAGCCGCAGCTCCGCGCCGTGGGTGCTCCTGGAGCGTCCCTGGAGCCCCCAGCCCAAACCTCACACAGGGCTCAGGCTCCAGGCTGCATCCCCGAAGCCCCCAACCCCAAACCTTGCTCGTGGCTCTGTGTCCCTGTCCCTGGAACCCCCCTGTTGTGTCCCTGCAGGGTCGGCTGCCGCGGTACCTGATCCACCAGAGCCTGGCTGCCACCATGTTCGAGTTTGCCTTCCACCTGCGCCAGCACGTGGCCGAGCTCTGCTCCAAGCCCTGAGGACATTCCACGGCCCTCTCTGCTCTGGAAGGGGGGAAGACAGGACCCTGAAAATCCCCTCCCAGAGAGGGGACCCCTCACTGCCAGGGGAGGGGGCTCAGCTCCTCCTGCCCCCTCGCCGGGGCCCTGGAACCACTGACTGTTACGTGCCAAACCCCTGCCCTGCCCTTCTCTGGGGCTGGGCTGGTCCCCCCTGCCCCACGCAGGGGGTGGGGGCTCAGCTATGACCCCCATGTGCCCCCCACCCTGGGGCTGTGCCCCCCACCCCGGGGCACGGCTGGGACTGCACAAACCCCCTCCCCCTCCCCAATCCCGCAGCTCCCAGCGCGGGATTTGCCTTAAGCAGAGACTTTGATCCTTTTTGGGGGTGTAGGGGGAGAGGGAGGGGTTGAGGGGGGCGCGGGGGCTGCGGTTTCTCTACCTGTGAGTGCCGTGTGCTGCTCTAAAAACAGCACAGCAGCAGCAGCGCAGGGACCCCCCCGCACGCGGGGGCTGCACTGAGGGAGGGGGGGCACCCAGAGCAAACCCCCCCCCCCCCCGCTCCAGGGGGCTCTCTGCATCCCCCACCATGGCCTGGGGATCCGAACCCCCCTACCCCCCCCCCTCCCAAAATCGGTGAGGGGGGAATTAAAGCCTTGCACTGTTTGCAGCTCCTCGTGCCCTTTGTCACCCGCGGCAGTCACAACCCAGGGGTGGGGCTGGGGTCACCCCAAATCTTCTCCCCCCTCCCCGGGCACAAAGGGGGGGGTCTCCCGGCGCCTTTGGCCACTTGCCGTGGGTGGCAGTGGCCGTGGGTGTCACTGCTCCTGAGTGGAGCCCCACATGCCCCTGTCACCAGCCCCGTGCCTGTGAGCCCTGGGCTGCTGGCACCCAGTGGGCACCCTGTCTGTTGGCCCTATAAACAGCCTGTTTGGGCACTATAAACAACCTGTTTGGGCACTATAAACAGCCTGTTTGGGCACTATAAACAGCCTGTTTGGGGGGGGCCCTGCAGCCAGAACCCCCTTTGCCCTGAGGGAGGGCCCCCCATGTCCCTCTGAGGCACAGGGTGGCAGTGGCACCACGCTGGCAGTGGCACCCCCTCTTTCCTCGCCCCCTCTGGGGTCCTGGGAGTGGGAAAAGGCCAAACGTGCCCTGGGTGGGGGCCGGGGGGGTCCTGCCGGTGCCATCACGTTGCTGGCAGTGTGGGGGGCACACACCCATGGGTGGCACACGCCAGGGTAACACATGTCAGCAGTGCCACCCCCCTCAACCCCCCCCCCCCCTCATCCCTTGGCACCGTCCTGTGCCCGCCGTGCCAGAGACACGTCCCAAAATAGCCCCGGCGGGACCATAAAAGCGGGGAGGGCACGGGGGAGGGGGGCATTGACACCATGGTGGGCACCAGCGTGGTGGGGGGCTGCGGTGGGGGGCTCTCAGCCCGCCTGGGCTGCTCTGTCAGCGAGCAGGACGTGGGCAGGGGAGAGACCTTCAGTGCAGAGTGGCTCGACCTGGAGCTCAGCACACGGCCCGAGGAGGGGTGAGGGGCACGGCTGGGGGTGCTGGGGGCGAGGGGCACCACGGGATGGGGGGTTTTCATGGGGTGGTGGGGTTGGGGGTGCTCCAAGGGTCCCGGAATGCGGGGTTTCCGTGGTGTTCTGGTGGTGTGGGGGGCTCCGAGCGTCCCAAACTAGGGGTGCCATGGGGGTCTTGGGGTTGTGGGCGGCCCCAGGGGTCCTGAGGGGGCTTTGGGTGGTTTCAAGGGTCCCAAAATGTGGGAGTTCCCTGGGGTCGGGGGACTGTGGGGGGCTCCATGGGGTTCCATGGGGTCTTGGGGTTGTGGGCAGCTCCAGGGGTCCTGAGGGGGCTTTGAGGGGCTCCAAGGGTCTCAAACTGTGGGATTTCCGTGGATTCTTGGGACTGTGGGAGACTCCAAGGGTGCCGAAGTGGGTTGTTTCCATAGAGTTTGGGGGTTATAGGATCCAAGGACCCTGATGGGGTGGGAGAAGGGGGTCTCCAGGGCTTCCCATGGGATGGGGTGGGATGCGGTCTCCTGGAGGGATGGGGTGACCCCAACACGCCGGAGCAGGACTTGAGGGGTCCCCGTGGGGCTCTGGGGTCCCCGTCCTCACCCCCACGAACGCCCCGTGCCCAGGTGGTGCCGGCGGGAGGTGGACACGGCGCGCCGGGAGTCGCTGGAGCAGCGCGGGGCCACGCGGGTGCTGCAGCAGCGCTCGCCCTGGGGGCTGATCCGAGTGGGGGTCCTGGGGCAGCCCCTGACCCAGCACCTCCTGCCCTACGCCCGCAGCCTCCCCCTGCCCCTCTTCGCCCCCCCGGACCTCCGCGGAGCCAAGGGGGGGCTCCCCCGCACCCTCTCCCGCTCCCTCTCCCACGAGGCCCAGCGGGGCTGAGCGGGGTGGAGGGGCTGGGGGGTCGGGGTTGTTGGGGGGGGGGGGCGGGGGGGGGGGTTTGGGGGGGGGGGGGGGTCACGAGGCTGATTTTGGGGGGGCTGGGGGCACCCGGAGAGCTGGGTGTGCTCAGCCACCCCGAAGAGGCAGCGCAGGAGGGAGGGGGGCAGGTGGGGGTGGGCTCCGCTTGGTCTGGGAGCCCACCCCGCTGAGGGCGCGGAGGGGGCCGGTCGGGACGGGGTCCCTGCGGGTCGGGGGGGGCTCCCGCGTTTTAGGGGGCTCCCGGCAGCACCGGCGTGACTCAGTTTCCCTGGCAAAGAGACGGGAACGTGAGGATGAGGAGCATGGAGACCCTCCCGGGGCTGAAAGGGGAGCCCTGGGGGGGCTGCGGGTGGCGGGGGGAGGATGGGTGGGTGTGTGGGTGGGCTGGGGTTGTACAAACGATGGTCTTTGTACGGCAATAAAAGGCTCACGCTGTGCAGGAAGTGTGTTTCGAGGGGGGGGGAGAGGCTTAGGGGGAGAGGGACCTTCTGTGGGTGGGGGGACACTGAGGCACAGCAGCTGCAGGGACACGGGTGTCCTGTGGGGGTTTGGGGGGGGAACCTTGGGCTTATATAACCCCCCACCCCCTTGTCGCCCGCCCTGGTGCCAGGATCCAGGATGGCCCCCGTGCCCAGATTAGCTGTTCCCGACCGGATCCCGCTGTCCCTGGGCCCCTGCCAGGCCCTGTGCCCTCCCTGTGCCCGGCCTGGCTCCATCCCGGCCCCATTCCTGGCCCTTCTTCCCAGGAACCGCCTGTCCCTTCACCCACCCACAGCTCCGGCACGGGCAGGATTTGGGGTCTTTAACCCCCAGCTCCATAAGAGGGTTTCATCCTGCTCCGTTTCCCAGGTTGCTGGGAGCACTGGGAGCACTGGGAGCACTGGGAGCTGGCAGAGATGGTGCAGCTCCTGCCAGGGCTGGGCTGAGGTCCAGCACACTTGGCTCCCTGGTGATGGAGAGCTCGGACAGACCCCATTCCAATCCCTTCCCATCCCAAGCCCCACTTGATTCCAATCCCTTTTCCATCCCCATCATCCCTTTTCCACTCCCATCCCAATCCCCATCCCCATCCCTTTCCAATCCCTTCCTATCCCCATTCCAATGCCCATCCCCATCCCATTCCAAACCATTCCCACCTTCATTCCCATCCCATTCCATCCCAATCCCTCCACGTTCCCATCCCTTTCCGATCCTTTCCCATTCGCATCCCACACCATTCCCATCCCTTTCCCAAGCCCCATCATGTTTCTCCCCCCCATCCCAAACCCTTTCCATCCTTTTCCCCATCCCAATCCCATCCCATGGGACACTCATGAGCTCTCCCAGGCCTGGGGGTAGCACAGGGGCCGGCTGGGTGGGTCACAATCTCCCAGACGCAGGGACTGGGCCAGGATTCCTGGATCCCTGAGGCCGGGAAGGGCAGCGGAGCGTTATCAGCTCCGGGATTGCTCCGGGGCTCCGGCGCTAACCCAGTTATCCGGGATGGATGGACGGCTGGGAGCAGGGGATGGATGATGGATGGAGGGATGGGGGCTGGATGGATGGGACCGTCACAGCTCCCCACGGCCCCGCCCCAGCTCCAGACAGGGATAAAAGGCGATGGTTGGGCCTGGCAGCCGCAGCCCCCGCGCCATGAGCAGCCTGGCCGAGCTCCGCGAGGGCTACGAGCGCTTCGACCCCCGCGCGTACCTGCGCAACAATTACCTCCCCCCCCGCGCAGACTTCTCCTCCGAGGAGTTCGTGGTGCCCTGGAAGCTGCGATGCCTCGCAGACACCTTCGCTAGCGGTGAGGGGGGCTCGGGGATCCCCCCAAAAAACCCCGCAGAGGGGCAGGGAAACTGAGGCACGGGGCACCACCGCGCCCACCCCCCATGCTGGGGGGCAGCTCCCACCGCCCGCCCGGGTTTTCCCAGTCTCCCAGGGTGGGTGTGGGACCCCCCCCCCAACCATGTCCTGCGTGTGTGTCCCCCCTCCCAGGTGAGATTCGGGGCCGGACCCTGATCGATGTGGGCTCGGGCCCCACCATCTACCAACTGCTGAGCGCCTGCGACCACTTCGAGGAGATCGTGGCCACCGACTACCTGGCGGTGAACAGGGAGGAGCTGGGCCGGTGGGTGCGGGCGGACCCCGCAGCCTTCGACTGGAGCCCCTTCATCCAGCACGTCTGCAAGATCGAGGGCCGCGGGTAGGGGGGCACAGGGAGTGGGTGGGTGGGGTCGGGGGAGGGTCTGGGGGGTCGGGGGTGATGCTGGGGTGGTCCCTGCGGGATTGTGCACCCAAGGGATCGCAGCTCCACATCCCTGCAGACACCGCGGTGATCCCTGTGGGATTCTGTCCCCAAATCCCAGGGGATCACTGCCTCCCCCAGACCCCTGTGAATGCTGGGGGGGATCCCTGCAAGATCCCAGCCCCACATATCCATGGGATTCTGTCCCCACATCCCTGTGGGTACTGGGTTCATCCTGTCCTCACATCCCTGCATGTTCCTGATCAATCCCCACCAGATCCCCTCCCACCACATCCCCACGGCTGCTGAGTTGATCCTCAGGGGATCCTGTCCCTGTGGGTGCTGGGCCAACCCCTGCAAGGCACTGTTCCCACGTTTCTGGGTGTTCTGGATTGATTCCACCCCCTTGTACCCTTGCACAATTCCACTCCCACATCCCTGCAGGGTCCTGTCCCCATGTCCCTGTGGGTTCTGAGCCGACCACATCCCCACATGTTGGGATTGATCCCATCCCCACATCCCTGTGCGTGCTGGGTCAACCTGATCCCCACATCCCTATGTATGCTGGGTCGATCCCATCCCCACATCCCTGTGTGTGTTGGGTTCATCCCATCTCCACATTCCTGCAGGATCCCATCCCCTCATCTCTGTACCCCCCCATCAATCCCCCCCCCCTACTCCCACCTCCCCACTCCCCCCTTCCCGTTCTTCCCCCAGGGAGCCGTGGCAGGACAAGGAGCGCCGGCTGCGGGATCGCCTGCGCCGGATCCTGCCCATCGACGTGCACCGGCCGGACCCGCTGGGGGCCCCCCTGGACCCCCCGGCCGACGCGCTGCTCTCGGCCTTCTGCCTGGAGGCCGTGAGCCCCGACCGCGCCGCCTTCGCGCGGGCGCTGCTGCACGTGGGGTCCCTGCTGCGCCCGGGGGGCCACGCGCTGCTCCTGGGGGCGCTGGGCGAGTCCTTCTACCTGGCGGGGCCGGCGCGGCTGCCGGTGGTGCCGCTGGCCTTGGCCGACGTGCGGGCGGCGCTGGCGGGCGCGGGGCTGGCGCTGCGGGAGCTGCGCAGTTACGAGATGCCCCCGGCCCTGCGCACCGGCGTGGACGACGTGCACGGCGTCTTCTTCGCCCACGCCCAGAAACCCCCCCAGCGCTGAGGCTGCACCCACGGGAACACCCCCCCCCGCCCCCCCTCAAATCCCTGGGGCGGATGGAATAAAGGTTGAGGTCGTGGCGAGAGCCGGAGTCGGTGAAGGGTGTGGGGAAGGGGGCATCGAGAGGGTGGATCTGGGGCATGGGGGGGGATAACAGGGCAAGGACAGGGTGGGAAAGGGGGAACACGATAGGTTGGATATGGGGTGAGTGGGGGGGCACAATGGGGGGATTTGGGGCACACGGTGGGGGGGGCACAGGGTGGGAAAGGGGGCGCAGGGCAAGGGTAGATCTGAGGTGCCCCATGGGGTGACAGCAGAGGGTGCAGGGGGGCAGCACTGGGGGGCACACGGTGGCCCCGGGGCAGGGAGGGGACACAGTGGGGGCAATAACCCAGCACAGGCTGAACTCAGCTTTATTCACATCCCACAGCACACCCAGGCAAAGGGGGGTGGGGGGGGCACATCCCCGGGGTGGGGGCACAGCCCCTCTGGGCCAGGGGGGCACCCCCAGCCCCAAGGCACCCACACATCAACCCCCACCCCTGCCAGAGACACCCAGCAGGGCCCAGCAAGGCCCCAAAAGTGCACAGATCCCCCCTCCACAGTCACCCACGTGTTCCCCTCCCCACCGTGACCACTGTCACCTCGTGGCTCAGCCCTGGCAGGGTCCAGGGGGGGCTCAGCTGCCCTTTGCCCCCTGTGCACCAGCACTGGGGGTCCCCATCCCCCCAGAGAGAGGCAAGGGGGGGCACAGGGTTTTGGAGAGGGGGAGAGAAACAAACCTCAGAAGGCAACCCGGGGGAGGAAGAGGCCGTGGCCGGGGGGAGCCGGGGGGGTCACTTGGCACAGGGCAGGGCAGGACCCTTGGGGGGGGCACGAGGGGCTTCTCCACCCCCCCTCCAGCAGCTCTAGTCCACTTTGAGGAGGTCGGAGTTGGCCTTCAGGAGGTAGAGGCTGTCATCCATCAGAAAACTGGGGGACAAACAGGGGGCTGGGGGGGGGTCGTTCTTGGGTCCACAACACCCCCCCAGCTGCCTGTGCCGGGTGGGAAGGGGGGAAACTGGGGGAGTCCTGAACCCCCAACAGAGCACAGACACACCCTGGGGCTCAGGGGGTGCAGCAGGGGGGTCCCTCCCCACACCCCACTGAGCCACCCCCATTTCAAGGTGTGGGCCCTGAGCATCCCACGCACCAAAGGGCACCCCCAACTTCCAAGAGGTGGGTCCCCAGTACCTCAGTTTTAAAGACGAGACTCCCACCACCTCCCCCCCAAAACCTCCCCCCCCCCATGGAAGCAACGGGCCCCCAGGGGCGCCACGCACCTGTAGAAGAGCACGTTGAGGGGGATGGTGCCGATGTGCCAGAGCGCGTGGGCGTCCAGCACCCAGAGCAGGGGCGGGAAGTCCAGGAGCTCCAGCAGCGCCAGCGCCTGGAGCAGCAGCACCGCGGCCGCGCATTTCCACACGTGCGGCAGGCGCCGGCCGTGCCCCAGGCACCAGCGCAGCCACCAGCCCACCGTCAGCATTCCTGGGAAAACGGGGGGGTGGGCTCAGGGACGGGGGGAGAGGGCACAGAGTGACCCCTAACACAGCCCCCGGCATGGCCCAGCGGCTCCCAGTACAGCCCAGCACCCCCCAGTGCCCCCCCCAGCTCACCCAGGGCCGCGTTGGCCGCCAGGTTGTAGCCGTAGTCGAAGCGCACGAGGCTCAGGTAGGAGATGTGGCAGGTGAGGAAGAGCAGGAGGAAGGCCCTGAAGATGCTGATTAAGGCTGGGCGCTGCAGCCCCAGCGTCCTGGGGGGGACAAGGAGCGAGGGGGGTGGCCCAGTGAGCCCCCAGTACGGCCCAGTGACCCCCCCAGCGTGGCCCAGCACTTGCCAGCCCAGTTGCAGTTGGCTCCAGCGCCTCCCAGTGCAGTCCCAGTGCCCCCAGTGCCCACCTGACACAGCACAGGTACACCGAGTGCAGGACGGCGGCCGAAGCGCAGAAATAATCCAGTTTCTGTGGGATTTGGGATGGGTGAGCCCAACTGGCAGCAGGAGGGGGGGGTGGGAGGGGTCTGACACTCTTAATTTGGGGGGAAACAGGGACCCCCTCAGGGTGTGGGGACACCCCAAGGTGTCACCCCCTCACCTCCGTCAGCGCCGTGTCCCGCGTGTGGAAAACTGTGGACCAGAACCAGGCGTTTAAGGAGACCTGGGAAAAGGGGGAAAGGTGGGATTGGGGAGGGGGGGGATGAGGGTCAGACCCCCTTCACCCCCAGTTTGGGGAATGGGGGTGATGGAGCAGCTGGAGCTGGGGTGGGATCAGCTGGTTATGGAAAAGAGCTAGGGGGAAAGGGGAGGGGAAATTGGGGGACAAGGGGGAAAGGGGATGGGGGGAAAAGGGGGGAAA